AAAATAAAAATAAAAATAAAGAAAAGCAGAAGGAAAGAAAGTAACAGTAGCAAAATGGGAAATCTGGGAAAAGGGTATTCAGGAATTCCTTTTCTATTCCTGCAACTTTTTTATAAATCTGAAATTAGATCAAAATGAAAAAGTATATCATTATCTATTGATCTAGTTCACCAGATGCACTAAAGGAAATGCATGTTCAAATAATTTTAAAATTCTGCTTCACCAAAGTCCAGAAATGTTTCAAATGTTAAACAAAAACTTGTAACAAAAAGAAGATGATTTCTTTAATCTCAAACTAAGATGACCCCAACTATTTCAATTTGCCCAGGACTGGCCTGGTTTTAGCACCAAAAAGTTTCACTTCCTGGGAAACCTTTCAGGCCTGGGTAGTCAGGATGGTTGTCGCCTTATCTCAAACTATTTTCTAGACAATTAAAACTCTACTTAAAATGGTAAACATTTTATTTTCTTTCTTCAATATAGTTTGGTTGGTACTTTTCAACCACTCTTTTAAAGATATGCATGTACTCATTTATACACAGTAAGCTATTGCACAAATTGGTATACCTTTCTAGAGCAATTTGACAGATATATTTAGAAACTAAAAAATGTTCATAAACTTTGAGAAGAGTTCTATTCCTAGGACTTAATCCCAAGGAAATCATCATAGATGCCAAAAATGTAGGAACAAATGGACAGTTATAATAGTGGTATTTATTACAGTAAAAAAAAAAAAAAAAGGAATTGACCCAGAATGTCTACATCTGGAAGAATGGTTATATAAATTATGCTACAACCACACCACTGCAAGCTAAGTAGTCATTTTTTTTTAAAGTTTTTTTTTTTTTCAATTGGGGAATTGGGGGATGGGAAGAGCGCTGGGGAATTGGGGGAAGGGGAACAGACAAGTTGCTGTCATTTTGTTCTTCAGTTAAGTAGTCATTTTTTTTTTTAAGATTTTTATTGGGGAACTGGGGGGATGGGAACAGCGCTGGGGAACTGGGGAAGGGGAACAGACAAGTTGCTGTCATTTTGTTCTTCAGTCTGGCTGTGGAGGACGTTGCTTCACTGGCCCAAGTTGGCACCATCATTGCGCTCTTCCCAGGCGAGTCAGATCAGTCGCCGGCTTCTGGACGGCCGCTCACAGCGGCTGCTGGCCGCTCACACTGGCTGCTGGCTACACACGGTAGCCCATGGCAACCCACTGCCACAGGGGCTGCGGCCTACGCCATTGCTGGCGACTCAGGGCAGCCCAGCTCCAGGTCGAGCTGTTGTTCAGCATCTTAGCTGTAGAGGGCAGTGTCACTGGCCCTCATATGTGGGATCCGAACCAGGGCCCTCTGGCATCCCAAGCGAGTTCCTAACCATCGCGCCACTCGGCCGGCCTTAAATCATCTTTTTGAGGAATGGCATTGCAAAATGTTCATGAAATACTGATAAATTTAAAAAAAATTTTCACAAACATACAAAGCATTTATACAGTATAAAACCATTTTCAAAAATATATAGGTATGAATTTATGTATACATGTAAATTAAAAATGGGACAATACATTATATATTGTATGCTATATATACACATATACTAAATATGCAAATATGCTATATATGCATATACTATTTAAAGTGGCAAAACACAATGCATAATTTAAGTGTCTACCTCTGGATGGTAGAATTATAGGTAACTTTTTTTTTTGAACTTCTAAATCTTTAAATGTATTTACATTTCTAATTTTCAAGAATGAACATTATTTTATATTTAGAAAAAGACTTCTCATTATATGCAATGTAATTACAAATGAGAGACCAATTGCCACAAGCTTTCCAAGAAATCAAGTTCATTATTTTAAAGCGACACTTTTATATGAATAGCCAAAACGATAAGACTATATACATGCAATCACAATAGAGAATGAAAGTTAAAAGTAGAATAGTCTGATGTAGAATTTATTGAACCACACACCCCATTTCAAGTAGGTTCTATTACCTCCCAGCTATCCGGCTCCAAGAATTCCTTTTTTTCTGTAGCTTTCAAAAACTCTTCTAGAGTCACCAGTCGGTCTTTGTTAGCATCAACCTGATTAAAGGAACATGTGTAGTTAAAATAAATAGCTCTTTCCCCTATTATTTAGACACTAGAAACTCTCCTTTAATAGATGCTACTATATAAACATACAGCAATTAGGGCTAGCCTAACATCCACAGAAGCTGGGGGTAAAAAAACAGAACACTCAACATTATAGTAGAATTAGAAAATAGATATCCTTCTCTTCTATATAATTCAAATTTGAAAATACAGTGAGATGTCTATCTACCTGATACCCCCAAAGATCTCCAAGTTTGAGTCTGTTGATCTGACTGGTAAGACTAATATTGTCTTCCTCCCTCACCATGTATAATCTCTCTTGAAGCCTAGTGTTTGGGCAAGAAAAATAACCTTTGCAGTAAGAGAACTGTTTTAGATAAGAGTAAAAGAGTTTAAGTTAAAATGTTCTCAACATTTTTTCTTAAAAGCAAACAATTAAGTACATTAAAGCTAAAGTTGACAACCTCTCCAAACCCTACAATGGCTCTTATAGACTACAGCAAATTCAGTTACAAAAGTGGACTCTGTAATGGCCAAAGAAATTCATTTGATACTTGAAACGCCACCAGTCAAAAGAAATCCCAATTCATATATCAGGTGAAAACCACTGAAGCAAAACAGTGGGCTTTAGTTACCACGTCTATGATATCTGTATCAGAGTTTTCAGTTTAGTAACATGAACAAGAAATAAATATTTGTTGTTATAAATGATTTAGGATTTGGGTTTGGGGATTTTCTTAGCAAAACTAAAACGGCCTTTTAAAACATCTAATATTGGGCTACATTATTTTTTACTTCTAAATGGATATTTTATAGCTGATATGCAGCAGCATCTTAATCTTTTAAAATATTTTAAAGTTACACAGCATAAATACGTAACTACAATATTGCCACAGGGACATGAAAGACAGTTCGAGGAATATAATTAATAATGTTGTAAAATTTTTGTAGGGTGTCAGATGGTCACATGTCTTGCTAGGGAGACCGCATCATGGATGGGGAAGAGTCTTGATCACTGCACAGTACACCTGAAGCTGATGTATAATATTGTATTATATATATATATATATATATATATATATATATATATATAGAGAGAGAGAGAGAGAGAGAGAGAGAGAGAGAGAGAGAGAGAGAGGGAGAGAGAGAGAGAGAGTGTGTCATGGGACATGGAGTATAGTGTGGGAGTGGAGTCAAGGAAATTGTAATAGATATGTATGATATTGGGGTGGGGAAGTGGGGCGGCAGATTGGGGGAGGGGGTTGTCACCTCAAGGGGTAAAAAGTATAACTATTGCACTGTGTTGTATAGCTGAAACTAATTCTAAAAAATGTGTATTGCACAATAAAAAATAATTTTTAAAAAAAGGAAAAATTAAAAATATAAAATGAAATAAAATATTTTAAAATAGTTACAAAATAATTTTATTTATACTTAAGGAACCTACTAAATATTCTGGATTAAAAATGAAAAATCCAATCAAATATATATTCTGTATATGTATTTTCCACTTTATGATAAAAATTTATTGCAACAACTTGAATAATCCACAGAAGAAACGTATATTAAACTTTTAAAACATACCTCATTCATTACATGTTCCCTCATTCTAAGCCTTTCTTCTTCCATTTCTACCATATCATCCTCTTCATTTTTGGGGTCATATATTTTCTCCAACTAAAAAGAAAAATTTAAGACCAACATAAAAGAAAGGAAGATAATAGAAGAAAAAAAGAGAGAGCAAAACACTAAATACTTAATGAACTCATTTACCTCTTTAGTAAATAGGGCTTCCAATTCTTGTTCATCCAGGAAGCCATCATTATTGACATCTAAAGTTACCAAGGCAAAAAACTGATTTTAATGCCTTATAAAATAATTAAATAGGGGAGGGGGGTTGTCACTTTGAGGGTTAAAAAGTATAACTATTGCACTGTATTGTACAGCTGAAACTAACTAAAAAAAGTTTATTTCACAATTAAAAAAATAATAATTAAAATACAAATATATACAAATGGTTTGCAAAAGTAGTACCGACACAAAGCATCAATATGCTACAGAAAAAGGTCTCTTCTTTTTTATGAAGCCCCAGATCAGTCCAACTGATAACAATTCACTACCTACTTATAATTCATCATAGATTTTTAGAAAAATATATATCAAACAATCTTTTCCAAAAATCTAAAGTAAAGCAATATGCTATGAGTAAAAGTGAATTTCATAAAGCCCATTAGATATAACCTACCTCGTCACAAAAATACCTTCATTTTACAGAGAATCTTGTTTTAAGTCATGTAATGACGTAACAGTAAAAGCAGGTATAAAGAAACAGCTACTAACCTAAAATATTTTATACTACAGATCAGTAGTAAAGACTGTTGTATTACCCTAGAGAAAAATTCTCAACATTTACTTTCAATAGAGCTCAACAGCAGACCTTGGCAGAAATCAATTAAGAGTAAAACAACTATAATTTTTCAAACAACAGATAAAAATATTAATATTTGTGTCAAATCTGTTACCATGTAATTTGAAAAACGTCTTGGGGTCAAAGTCATTAGGATCCAATCCATCAGTCTCTTCCCATACCTCTTTTAGTTGATCTTTGCTTCCCTGTGAATCAATTTAAGAAAAACACTCAAAACAAAATATAATCTGTGCATATGTTCAAAATAAAATATAAATCTGAGGAGCTCTGAAGAATTAAGAATCAAGATTTAATTACTAATAACTCATAATAAAATTCTACTATCTGATACAAAGAAGTATTTTCATCTAATAATGGTTTCATAAAGTTATAATCCTTACTGGATGATTAATTTTGGGGTGATTTTCATGCTTTTTCTTCATTTCTTCAAATTTAGATTCTTCTTCTTTTCTCTTTTCTTCATTCAGTGTTTTTAAATATTCTCTCCTTTCATGTTCCTTCATCATTTCATATTTTTTAAACTCTTCATGTCGAGTCTTATCATAGTGTTCCAGGTCACTTGTAGCCTAAAATACAGTATTTAAATTAAATAAAAAGATGTGTTTGAAAAATAGAAATAATGCCATTCTTGCAAATAACATATTTTCTAACAGGAGATAGTATAGAAGGGTCAAAAAATACTGAGCTCCTCTTTTTAAATTCTACCAATTTATTTTAGTCATTATTATTACTAGAAATGTAGACATTCAAAAAAACCAACAGTTTAGGAAGTTCCTCATAAGCAAGTAATATATAAGTTGATTTGAAAAAGAAGGAGGGGGCCGGCCGAGTGGTGCTTGGGACGCCAGAGGGCCCCGGTTCGGATCCCACATATGAGGGCCAGTGACACTGCCCTCCACAGCTAAGGTGCTGAACAACAGCTCGACCTGGAGCTGGGCTGCTGTGGGTCGCCGGCGACGGTGTAGGCTGCAGC